ACCTGAGTAAGATGAACAATATATGACTGTTGAAGTAAAAAATAGAAGTGTCTGTAATAACATATGTATCTGAAAGAAATAAGGTAAAGTTATTAATAAATTAAAGTGCTAAGCCAGTACTTCCGGTCCTGTTCCTAGAGAATTCCAACTGGCAAAGGCTCTGGAAGTGTGGGTGCTCTGGAACACAGGACCTTGATTTGAAATCCTGGCTTTCTGGGCACACATTGTAAATTGCTAGTGAGCTCATTTATAACAAAAAAAAAAAAAATCCCAAAAGATTCAAACAAAAAGGACTCTCCCTTTTACTTTTGGCATGCTTCTCACAAAAAAAGCCCCAACCATTTGAAGGTCATTTAATTCTATTCTAAAACATAATACAGAAGCCTGTGAGAGTACAATTTCCTTCTATTTGAGATGTATGATGCTATTTTCTGTATTTTAAAAAAACAGTCCAAAGTGTTCCATTTTTTTTTTTTCCTTCCCTAAACAAGAAACTAATTCTCCAGCTCAAAGAACTATTTAGAGATCAGCCCTTTACAGCTGAGGAAGTAGATGGTAAGATCCAAAGCAAGCAATTCAGATTTTGGAAGCATTTTATGAACTACATTGTGAACCACTTATGCAGTCTAGCTGAATTTTTTTATGCTGTGCTTTTTAAATAAACAAAATGAGAGCAGCAGAATTCATGTATGTTTAATATTTATGAGAATAAAATAGTAAAATAAAAAAATATGACATAGCAATGTAAATGCTTACCATTTAAAACAGAATTCTGAAGTAAGAATTCCAGACAGCTGTAATTTTATTTACAGGACTGATAAATTCTGTTGTATTATAATTTAGCATTCACAAGAAAAGTCAAGAGCATTTGTTTTCCATTTTGTTTTAAACTTGGTGAATGACAATGTAACATTGTAGTGGTTATGAGGAAAGTCTATTTGACAGATGTTTTTCCTTCCATTAAAGCAATAGTAATAGTAAAAAAAAATAAATTCCCAAAGACACTTCTTTGATTTAAGTGAGAAAAAAACAATGAAGAATGGACTGTAGCTTATTCACATACTAACTTCAAACATCTAGCAATTTTAACTGCATTGAGTAGCCCACTGATTTCATTTGGAATGCCCTGAAAGTAAACAAGTGGTATGAAGCTCATTATTGTAAGAAATGTTTGGCATTTCTTGACTTAGTAAGTCAAGAAACATACAAAATATTATTTTAACATAAAACTAATATTTATTTCCAGGGCAAACACTAACGCTTATTTCCTGCAACATACATAGAGAGCAAAAAAATTATGCATTACCATAACCATTTTATTAGACTAAAAAAGTATTATTGGACCTACACACGTACCACTGGACCCAGTTTCATTTTGGCATCCATCTTCCACTGAAAAGTGCCCGAGATAAAGACTTGTGCAGAGACAACAAAATAAATATGTACTTAGTGTGTGGAGTTTTTCATTGACATGTTTTGTACCTTTGATCATCTGTGTTTAGAATCAAAGAATAAATTAAAAAAAGGTACAGAATGCTTTAACAGATTAATTTTGCTCTGACCTCCCTTGAAATATATATGATGAATCAGAATAAGAATTAAAACACATCCATTTTTTGTGAGACTATATTTAGTAACACTTCTCCTTACTAGTTAATTACCTTCTTTGTAATAAAATTAACCACAGTAAGGCTTTTGTTAAAGTTTAAGATTTTCAAAAAGTACTATGCAAACTTGGATCATTTTTATATATATATATATACACACACATATATATACATATTGAGATACAGTTTATTTAAGTTTAAACAGGAGATATCCTAACTAAGCAGAAATGTCTAAATAGTATTCGAAATCCGTAATGACTCTAATGATAATTTCCTCTCTGGCATATTAAAAAAGCATCAGTCAAAAAAATAAAAAGATTATTCTGTCTGAAATTCCCTACAGTACCACTCCCCTAAGAACCATTCTTAGGTGACGACTCCAAATATAGTGCAATGCAGTATGTTGCATTATCATCTGTACCATGTTTCTTTTCCTCTTCTGTCTGTCATAACAATCTGATCCATACGTCTCCTGTTAATTAATATTATTTAGCTTTCATTAGAGATACAAAACTAGATGCAAACCACAACATAGACATTTTCCTTCAACAGTAAATCATGATTTTATCAGGCATCATCCAGGCCAATACTTCTGCTTGTCCTACTCACTTGTATATTTATTCTTTAATGTGAACAAACTCTCCAGATAATGAGTAGCTCCCAACTCAGATGGCCAGTCTCAATAAACAGAACTGTCATAAAGATTTGCTATGTTAGGCATTGATAGACTCTAACTGGAGACAGAACACTTAGATGCTATCTGTTGATTTTCATAAATGCTCATGACATTCATGGACAAGAGGCTCAGACAGATGTAAACCAACATGGTCACAAATATTATTGCCATAAAAAAGTGAGCTCAAAATGTATACGTGTTCAACATCACAGAAAGATAATTTCATTGAAGTAGTGGCTTTTTATACTATCATTTCATTATACTTTCTTCCAGGTGTTTAGTTCACATCAGTTGTTTATCTGTGAATCCTCTGCTTGCAAGAACACGTACAAATGCAAAACTCATAAATCCTCACATTTGATATTTCCCCTCACTTGAACTATTTTAAAAGAGATTGACTTCTCTCTCTACATTCCATTCAACTACAGCATACAGTATTAATAAGCCAGTCTAACTCATGTACAGGACAGTTATTCTCTAGCAGTATCTTCTGCTCTCTGCTTGAAACTACGCTACCCATAAAAAAATCTGTACATCCAATTATTTTTTCCACTTTCAGTCTATGTTAAAAATAATGATCTTTGAATAGGGCCATTATATGGCATTTATAACTGACAAGGTTAATTGTTTGAGGTCCTTCTTGTTTATTATTGATCCTCAGGAAAAGTATTGTATCTCAGTCAGTAGTGCTTAAGTTTTGGTCTATATTTTAATTGCAGAGCGTTTGTTCCAAGAAAGAACTTATTTCTGAAACAGTGAATACACATGCTACATGAGCCTGAGTAAACATAAATAAATGATAAATTTAAAAAAATTAAATTTTGTGTTGTCCTAATATAGCTGAAGTCCTTGCAAGTTATTTTTCCTTGTGTGTCTTATTACTGGTAGAAACTCATTAAAGTCTACTCCTTGCTTCTTTCTGGAGGAATGGGATGCAAAATTCCTTGCTATGATCTCAGAAGAAACCTTTTCTGATAATATGTAATGCACTATATATTGTGCTATACAGATGAAAAGGAAAAACATACAACTGATACACTTTCCAGTCACACATTTCCGAAACAAGGCCTCACAGATGTTCAATATAGTGCAACAGTCTGAAGATCGTATGTCCCTACTTTTCCTTTGCATATTCATACTAAAAACTTTAATCAACTGCAAACCCATTCTCATTTATAAGACTGCCATTTTCATGACAAAGTTAGGTAGGAAATCTTAGGAAGTAAGATTGATGACCGTGGCCTAAAAAACCAAAATGATTTCCAAAAACAGAGTTTCCCTATACAAACTAAATAGCAAAGAAGACTACAGTGGAAAATTCATGTGACAGATTTTTACAATTATGTTAGGAAAATACATCTTTAAATGAATCTTAGAGTATTTAAGTATATCTGAATAAACTCACTGAGAGTCATTCATCTTCTGAAGGACTAGTTCTGTCAGGGTGAAAAGAAACTAGCTAATAAGGGTATTTAATTTTGCATGTAAAAAAAAAGAAAGATACTTCTCTGATCTTGTTGTTTCTTTAATTTTCTGTCTATGGCTTGATTTTGTCACATCCAGTGCTACCTGTAACGTTCTTGGTGCATTTGACTCCCATACATTTGCGTAGAATGACAGATAAATATTAACCCAATAGGAACTGAGGGGACATTTCTGGTTAGAAGATTATTCCGGTAACTGCCTATGTTGAAAATGACTCAGATTAACAGCGCAAAAGAAATATATACATAATGCTATCCAGCTCTCATCCTTGATACAGATGTCATATAGTTTCTGAATCAAAATGAAACAAAACAAACAAAACCAAGAATAATGACAACAATCTACATGAGAAACTCAAGGTTCGAGGTAGCTGCTTGTCCTCATGTCTCCAGAATCTCCTGGGTGTCAGGGGAAATTGTTAGCACTGGTAGTTTTCTTCTGGACCAGTTCCAAAAGAAATTAAAATAAGACTAAAAATTTGCACAGCTTCAACTTAGTTACCATTAATATACTAACCAAACAAAATCTCTAGGCAGCTACTACTTTCCTTATACAGATGAGGCATGGAGATTAAATAGTTCCATCCCACAGAATCAATTAATTTTTCAAACCTGAGAATTGAATTTAGTTATTGTGAACATTTAGACCTAAGTAAATATTCCTACATTATACATAGAAAGTTCTTACATGCTGCACTGATCTGTTACAAAAAGCTGTAAGATGTTACAACACTTATGTGAATTAATCATGCATTTTCAAAGCATGCTCAGGAAAAAAACTGAATATTTGGCTTTTAAGACATTGATTAATCGTGTATCAGAAGTGCAAGATTTCTCTTGGCCTATGTCAAACTAACACTGCAGCAGGAGACTTCTCGGCACAAAGAATATTCCTTGAGTTCTACTCAGATCATATCTCCAGTTTTGAGAGAGGCTGTTTTTTTATTCTGCACTATTATACAACTTTTCTTTTTGCCTGGCATCTGACAGGCATTCCCATCCTTTGCGTTTACTTTACTTCACTTCCTCAAAGCTGAGGCTGCAAAAACACAGCCAGCAGCCTCATAGAGCTTTCATGGAAAACTGCCATTCTAACCTGGCATCTAACTTCACTTTATTATTCACTCACTGAAGTTTAAAACACTGAGATAAATTTAAATATTTATGCCAACAAAGAAACTGATTAAAAGTATCACCACAAAAGAAGAAAATGAAAACAATGTAAGCCATTACTGAAGTAGCTCTTCTTGTGAAAGCTCTGATGTTCTTTGCTTGCAAGTCACCAGTGCCAGTTCATCCTTCAACTCCTGGATCTCCTTTTTCAGTTGGACAATCACCTACAAACAGAAAGGCATAAACCAGGCATTACCTACAAAGTAATAGCTAGTTTATGATCTTTGCATTAGAAGACTGAGTTTAGGGAAATATACTTTGGTTTTCTCTTTTTTTAAACCACATCTCTTTTTTAAAAACAATTCAAATGCCTTAAATACACCAAGCACTTTTTTTTCCTTTTCCATTTATAGAAACAAGAAAAGTCTTCCAAACTCAGTAAATTCTATGTGTTAGAAGACATGGCTGTACAGAAAGTTCAAAAGATTATTTGCAAAAGAGAAAATAATTTGCCATAGGAATAAAAAGAGCTTTCTGATTCATTAGTTTTACCTGTTAGTAATGAAAACACATTAAAAATAGAACTGAGATCTTCATTAGAGAAAGGACAACTACACACCAAAAGTGATTATTTTTTTTAACCTTCCCTTTAGAAATAGAAATCCCAAACCAATATCTTAGTATTTTAATCTTAACTTTACTTCTTTTCCAGTCTTATTAGAATTATAGCATACTATAATTGTAGGATGTATCAGTTGCTAACAACAAACAAATAGTATAAATCAACATAATGAAATTAAATTGCATTAATGGATATTAATGATTGAGAAAGTGACTTGGAGAACTGTACTAGATTTTAAAATTCTAATAGCTCACTATTGGAGCCTGCACTTTTGGAAAAAATGTCTGTATAAAGCCATATTCTACAAATAATTAGCCTCTCAAGGCCAAATTCTACAAAGCAGGGATAATATGCAAACCCCTAAGTCTGAAACATGAATGAGCAAGTTCTTGGATACTTTATGATAGATCATTTTAAAGATGCATCACCTTATAATGCCTCAAATATATCAGGATTCCAATGATATTTTTAGATCGCTATGAGTACAGTGATTTCATGTGCAAAACAAGTTTCCAAGAGAAGAATGTTTTCAAGGAAATACTAATCATTCTTGATTGCATGCACTTTCTAGAAATAAGATTATTGAAATTGATAACACATTTTCACTGGATGTTAAAACTCCTTCAAACATTTGTATTTCTTTTAATGTTTAAATTTAACCCTCACTTCCTAAACTTTGAATGAGTATTTTTACGTTAAAAATCAAAATATTCTAAACATACATATGATTATTTCTTTTTACTCTAAACTTACTGGCAACACATTTGTTACTATAAAGTATGAAAGGCTAACTTGCAATATTTTATTTAAGAATCTATTAAGGTGGTGAACTGTTAATTACAGATGTTGCAAGAGTGCTTCAAGAATATTGCAGACCAAACATTTTAACCTGATTTTAGGTTGCCTCACTTTGGTACCACACTCTGATGTAGTCTGTGCCAATTATTGAGTCAAGAAAATAAAATTTGGGGCTGGAGTATAAAATGGCAGAGAGCCGAACTGGTAGTACCATCCCTGTTCAATATTCAAATATGTTAGCATGGTTAACCTCAATCTGACAACAACGAAAATACCATTTTCAGGATATGGATAAAAGATTGATTTTCAAGTATTATTAAGACAAACAAAAATCAACAGAAGCATAATATTTTAATTTCTGTTTTTAAATGAATACCAGAGGAGATTAGATTTAATTCAGGCTCAACAGTCTGGTTTTCAGATTAAATTAAATCCTTTGTTCATGAGTGACAGAGGTTCAAAGCTGAGTCGCTTAAGAAGTATAACAGGTACAAGTTCATCTTTTTAGTAAGATATACAGTCAGGAAATCTCCATTATGAACAATAAAGTTTACACAACAGTCAGACTTAACTCAGATCTATCAAGAGGTATTATGCACTCTCTTTATAAAGCATGCATTCAACTTACAGATGATAAATACTCCAAATAAATTTTACAAAAAAAATCGTAAGTCCAGCACTTCACTGAATAACCAGGTTGCACCCTGGGAATATACTTTAGGTAGTTAAGATGGGCAACAAATTCCATAACGAGCACAGAGCCATATGGTCTAGATACCTGTGCTCCCCAGCCTTTTCCACAAGAGGGGATGGTTTTCTAACTCTCATGAGTCTACTTTTGCTTTACTTGCTAAATGATCCTGCAGAGCAAGACATACCAAACTCGTGGAGTATAGCTCCACAGGATGTAGTAAATGTTCAGGAGCCTGCATGTGTTCCACCTCAATCAAAGGCTTCTGTGGCCATGGAAGAAATGTTTTGCATGATTTGCTAATATAAAGCCTACATAAGAAAGGAAAAAAAAGGACGGACAGACAGATAGAAATAAAGTTGTTCAGAGCCTATTGGGTTTATTTTTTGGCCATTGTTTTTTGTGCTTTTTGTTTTGGTTTGGTTTGGGTTTTTTTGGTGATGCTGTTTTTGTTAGAAATTGTTTGGAAAGAAAAAATAAATAAAATAATAAAAAATAAAATCAATACAAAATCTGACAAGAATCTCCTATTCCCTTTGAACTTCAAGGACAAGAGAAAATAAAAGCACAATCATTAACAGTAACTGAAATATGTTAATTACCATCAAGTAACAAATAATCAACCACCTAATCCTCAAATTTGTAGATAACAAATGCTTATGTTATACAATTTAGCAGTCTAGCATTCAAAGGGAAAGCATTTCCTAGTGAGTTCAGAATGTCATATGAGAATAAAATACATAAAACTTGTAATTACAAATTAGTAATAAGAAATTTAGAAATATAGTAATATAGTAATAATTTTGCCCATTAAAAAGAATGACAATGCAATAAGTATATAATAAAAACAGACAGAACCATTGAAATTAGAATATTTCATTCAGATTTTATAATCTTTAGAGGTGAAAAGCTCAAATTAATACATTACTAAAAACTATGTTTTAAGTATTATCTGTTTATATATAAACAGAATAATATAATAGCTTAACCTGCACTTATTTTTCATCTGACATCTCTGTCACAGAGACAGAGTATGCTGAAATACATCCATAGTTATTTCTTCATTTTATCCGTAAATGCAGCTTTACCAGTGTAACCTCAATCAAACATTTCCCATATCAGAAAGCATCTTTGATATACAGCTTGCAACCCAGCTGATCCAGTAGCTATCATTATCTGCAATACTATGTTGAATTATTATTTACAAAGGAAATATATTTTTGAGGTAATGCAGAAAATGACATTAAATAAACTAACAAAAGCCTCAATATAGTAGAGGTTATCATTACAGAGCACATCTTCAAACAAATCTGATATGTAACAAGCTAGAGGCGTATAAAAAAATCTTTCAAAGGAAAGACTAATCAAATACTAAAAAGAAAAGAAAAGTAGATTTTTGTTATGCACATTAAAGGAAGAAAATTGTTTTCTTTATGTGTCAATGCTTTTGTACTTTACCAATGTGGATTATTACCTCTATCCTTCTCTGAACTTCCTAAATCCCCAATCCATTCTGCAGAGCTCCTCTGCTGCTCTTTAGCATGTAAACACCAGCCTAATGCTTTAGTGTGGAAATTCTATTTCTACATCTCATTTAATTGTCTTCCTTTTTTCCTAACGGTAACTTTACAGAGTTCTTTCTTCCTAGCTAAAATGTTCCTTGGGCCAATCTCAAGGAAGGACTGTGTCTGTATGTTTCTTAGCTTAATATATGAACTGTTTCAGTGCAGCAGCATGGCTTCATCAAGTGACTACTAACCTTAGTAGATTTTTTAAGAGTTTTAGGGACATTCAATTATCTGTGACTATGATTTAGAAACTAACACCCTAAAAGAAGCAACACAAAGACAATAATGAATGTGACCATTGCTTCTCAGATGCCTTAAGAGTAGAGAAAGCCTTTAGAGGTTTTATAAAGGTCCATTTAATTATAATTATGTCCAAAAAAAACCCCAAACCAGTAGTTATTTTATAGAAAAAATTGGAACTTGCATCTAAAAACAATTTAATGGGATGATTCAGTATAAAATCCTCAACATCCATTTGACAGCTATTGATTAATAAAACTTAAAACAAGCAATCTCCTTCCCCCTGCCCCCAGACAACTCTCACCAATCTGGGGTCAATTTCTTCATTAAGAACTGCTTCATTCTTAATAAGAGCCACTCGCTGTGCAAATCTGCAGGTTGATATAGATTCCTGGAAGAAAAAAAAGAAGAGAAAAAAGAAAAATTCCAGTTAGCTTTGCACCAGGTAAGTAGAACAGGCTCCAAATTATGTCATCAAACTAAGTTTCTATTTTTTGTATATTTTACAGAAATGATCTATCATTTCATAGTCCAAACCAGCAATATTCAAGGGAAATTAGGTTAGCGTATTAATGACAGTAACATATAAAACAGTCAAATCATAGTACATATTTTATTGACCCAGTCAATCCCCTGATCAACTGTGCTTCGAATGAGTCCCCAGCTGGCACTAAAGGATAAGAAAGCCATACCACTCAGAAGGTAAAAACTTTTGAATTATGAGAGAAAGAAAATTAACTAAACCCAATTTTTTGGTGAAAATGGGACTAGTGAAGTGCATGTAAATGAAGCTGGGAAAAAGAGATGAAGGGAAGAAGAATGGAAATCCAGGACAAATGAGAAACAACCTGGGAGATTTGGAACTGGGATGCATACAGGAGAGCTATGATATCAGATAAAAAATTTTCACATGAGATAAGATGGGGTGCAGGAGGAAAGGAAAGCAGAGAAAAAAAATATATGACTGAGTTTGTGGACGAAACTCTGTGACAACAAATCCATATTCCCATCTAGGGCACAGAATGAAATCGAGGATCCCGAAGTATTGTTCTCTCCTTTGAGATCAGCTGATACTTACATGCCAGGCCCTGCTAGAGAACTTATCTGCCTACTGAATAAAAAGCCAGCAATTGTTCTTAGCTTAGAGAATACAACATCATTCAGTAGTCTTAGAAGTTCCAATGATGTTTGATAAACTGTATGATAAAATTTTCTGACGTGTGCCAGTCTGCATTTAAAATGTAAGAATTTACACATAACCCCTACATTACTACTACATTACAACTTTACTACTGTCACAGACTTGTATTTCAGATTCAAAGTAATCCTGCAGTTTTCAGTCCTCCAACATATGAAAATGCCAGTTTAAATATATGATCATATATTCTTTTTTCCACAGGACTTCTGTCTCTTTCAGTGCTTGGAGGGGTGGTATCTGAATTAGGATTACATGATGAAAGATACTAGTGTTTACTGCCAAAAACATAATATATACACACAGAATTAAAGAGTTTTCAAGGAAAGGAAAGGAAAGGAAGGCCTTACAATTACGAGATGCACACAGTCTTAGCTGGACTCTGTGTTTGCCTCTGCTATACAGTTCCCATGCTATGACGATCAGCTAATGTGATTTTAATTAAGTTATATACACATATTAAGTACAATTATATGTACAGTACTCATACATACATTTCCACCAGCTTCTTTGCCCTGTTCAGTGTGAAGCGTATGTTGAATTAATGAGTAGCTAATCAATTCAGTCTTCAATGTTGAATATGTAAGCTTAAGACCTATTTATTCTATGCCATCAAAATGGTAATGAAAGCTGACAGCTACTAATTTCCTAATCATTTTTTCTGCCATGCTTATCGTTACAGTACCCGAGGGCTTCACAAAAATTAATCAATTAATCCTCTAGGTATTGCTTTGCTGCAAATGTGTGAAACGACTACACTTAACAGAAGGGAAACTGAGGTCAAAAGTACAAAAAAAATGATATTTGATTATTATAATTATATGATCTTCTGTTCAAAACAGCTTCCATTCAACTTCAGTTACAGCTATAATAGTATATCTACACATCAGAATCAACATCTTCTTTCAAGCACTCCACAAAACTAGCACAAAATATGTGATGTAGGTGATGTGAGAAGTTGTACACAAACTTTTTGGTAGAAGTAGGAATATAATCTAGTTCTCTAGAAAAATATTCTATTTGTCATCTTCATGAGAGCACCCTTTCTTACTTTGAATTCTCTGCTTCATTGCTTTCATTGCAAGAGACAAAGCTAGGTCCTTAAGAAAGTTGCTTTTATTACACAACCTCAGTTCATACTGGGGGTAATTCTGTCTTGTGCTTTCTTTGTGAATGAAATGTATATCCAATGGAAAAAAATCAAACAAACAAGCAAACCAAACATAACTATGCATAATGACTCACAGATCTTCAAGTTAAAATTATGCAGCTAACCTAATTCTGACATTTTCTAATGTTTAGTAATTGACTTAATATCTGTCCTAATACTACTCGCACGTATCAGATTCTGGGGAGCCGGGTAGGGATTTTTTTTAATTATTTTTGGAAGGACTGAAGAAGATTTGTTGAGTAGATGGTATGTGTTAAAGCAAGAACATGAAATTTGTCAGTAGTCTACTCCAGATAATTGCTTGGGTTAAATATTCCCAAAGTAGAAATTTAGATCACAACTTGAGATACAGACACCTGATGAATGGATATACGAAATGGTGCCTATTCCACACAGTCTGAAAAAAAAAATTCATTAACAAACTTACCCAGTTGCATTTGTAACCAGACATCATGCTTGCATAATTCACATTTGCAAGTCTGAATAATCTGTTTTAATTTAACAGCAAAGTCAATTTTCTAAAGAAAAAAAAAAGGTCTACAGCTAGATAAAGTATGGTTTCTGCATAACACTTTCCACTGTATTTCAGAAAACAGTCTTAGGCTTAATATTTTTTTTTCTTGTTTATTCACATTAGAATGCTTTGATGTTATGGAATTTCAGGAAATAAAGAGGTTATAAATGGCTTTGAGCAGGGTTCTATGTATTCACACTGCAACTTATTTTAGAATAGAATAAACTAGAACAGACTATTTCAGTTGGAAGGAACCTACAATGATCATCTAGTCCAAGTGCCTGACCAATTCAGGGCTGACCAAAAGTTAAAGCATTTTATTAAGAGCATTGTCTGAATACCTCCTAAGCACTGACAGGCTTGGGGCATTGACCACCTCTCTAGGAAGTCTGTTCCTAGTTCTTTACTGTTCTCAGTAAAGAAATGCTTCCTAATGTCTAAACCTCTCCTGGCGCAGCTTTGAACCATTCTCAGACATCCTATCACTGGGTACCAGGGAGAAGAGCTCAGCACCTCCCTCTCCACTTCTCCTCCTCAGGGGGCTGCAGAGAGCAATGAGGTTGCCCCTCAGCCTCCTGTTCTCCAAACTAGACAAGTCCGAAGTCCTCAGCTGCTCCTCACAGGCCATGCCTTCCAGCTCTTTCACCAGCTATGTTGCTGTCTTCTGGATGCATTCAAGGACCTTCACATGCTTCCTAAATTGTGGGGCCCAGAACTGCACACAGTGCTCAAGGTGAGGCCGCACCAATGCTGAATAGAGCGGGACAATCCCCTCTTTTGATGGGCTGGTCATGCTGTTTTTGATGGACCCAGGATGGGGTTTGCCCTCTGGGCTGCCAGGGCTCACTGCTGGCTCCTATTGAGCTGCTGCCAAGCAGCACCTCCAGATCCCTTTCTGCAGGGCTGCTCTCCAGCCACTCCTCTCCCAGTTTATAGTTGTGCCTGGCATTACTCTGTCCTTGGAGCAGAATCCGACATTTTGACTTGTTAAATTTCATCCCATTAATCATAGTCCGATGCTCCAATCTATGCAGATCCCTCTGCAAGGCATCTTGTCCCCCAGGAGAGTCAGCAGCACCTCCCAGTTTGGTGTCATCAGAAAACTTGCTAACATTGCATTCAACTCCTGCATCCAGATCATGGATAAATATATTGAACAGAACTGGCTCTAGAATTGAGCCCTGAAGAACACAGCTGATGACAGGTCACCAGCCAGATGTAGCCCCGTTCACTGCATCCCTTTGGTAAACACTACAGTCCTTTTGGTAAACAAAGAGAAGAAAAAATCACTACGTATAATTCCAGTGCAGGAAATTGGTGAAGGGACTTAAAAGTATTCAAAACATTTCCACAAATCCCAAATTATCCCACTCATTTCCCTCTCCCCCCCAGTGAACTCTCCAGTTGTCTACCGTACTCAGTGAAATCTCATCTTCAAAGATGTCTACAGAAGTTCTGACAAGGCTTTCAGTGTGATCTATAATCTACTTATAGATCTTACCAATACGTCCTGTGGAAAATTCCTTGGAAATATATTTTCATAACTCAAAGATTTATTAATCAGGAAAACAGTAAATTAAAAAAAATAAGAAAATTTTTCATTACTAGGTGCAAGTTGTTTCCCAACTGCTCCTTGACTTGAGATTACTTAAAGAAAAGCACATTTCCTAGAGGATTTGTCTACATCTTACTGCAATTTCCACTGATAAAATTATCTCCTGGAAACAAAATGTTTTTCTGTAAGGATAAGAATGAAAGCATACAAACTTGAATTGCAAACTGTAATAAAAGTCAAAAGAACAAGATCTTTAGAGAAGTGAAAATATTTTTGTTGAAAACAGATACAAATAACATACGTCTATGCTTCTTTTGTCTATAGAAAGCGTGGCTATCATGGTAGTCATGCAGTTTCCTCCCAGGCTGTCTCTTAGCACTGAGGTCATCATAGAGTTTCGGTAAGGAATGTGAGACCGGTTTTTCTCTGCAAGAGCAATTATTACCTGAAGCAATAGTAAAAATGGAAAAGACTTTTAAATGTACATGCTTATTAATGATTGACATATAAAAAGAACAAAAACAATCTGCTTAGGAACCTAAACTTCTGATACAACAAAACTACGCTTATGCACCCAGTTAATCGGTTAAAACCCACTGATTTTACTGAAAGAATTTCAACTTAAATTTCAGCGTGTTTGTAGAAGCTGGGGCTGAAAGACCACATAAATTTAATTTTGTCATACTCTAGCTTTACAGTCTCTCAGCAACATGGAAACTGAAAAACTAAAAACCACAGACTTTCCTAAGACACAGGAACTTGCTGAAAATCTTCCTTATATTTTTTCTATCGAAATAATAAAGTATGGATAGTATTCAAGTAAAAACTTCCTTAATACTTGCTAAAGCATGCTTTTAAAATTACATGTTCTTAAAGCACATGGTTCTTAGAGGGGTCAATACATTTATTTCCGAGAAAATGTCTTGGAAAGTAAAACACAAATAAAAGGGTGCATGATTACAATGTACTGCTGGAAAGAAAGAATTCAGTTTAGTATGTATGTGCTTTGGCCAAAAAGGAAATGGTACACCTACTATTCTCAGTTTCCTTCCTCAGCTGTTTACATTATGGGATCTAATTATCATTAAATAAAAAGCTAGATTACCTCATGATCTGTTGTGATACAAAAGATTTGAACTGTTACCTGGTCGAGCACTGTACTGAAAAAATGCAGCTATATGAGTTGTGCAAGCTATCCTAAATGATTAGGACTTGTTTTTCCTTTAATAAATGTTACACACCAGCACATATTTTGTTTCTTCTGCACTTAAGAAAAATTGTTATTTTAGAAAATTTAGTAGCAACTTTTTTGTTGGCACTAATTTCTCTTAACGGTCTTCAGAAAGTTAAAATTTCTTATTACCATAAATCTTACACTGGCAGCCCTGAGAGGGACGAATGCATAATATGAAAATTACTATCTTTTAAAGGACTCTGAAAATCCAGTCCTGGATCAAGGTTTTCAAATCTCATACATTACAACTTGTTAGATGGAAATATGTTATATCTCTGTTAGTTTATAATATTGCATAGAAACCTCATAGTAGTCTAGCGTATACATCAATAAGCACATTCTCACTCTGCCACACAGAGACTATAATCTGAATAGACAAGATGGGAAAAGAGCCAGAGAGATATGTTCCTTCCATTAATGGAAATATGGGAACTGTCCCCCCAAATGGGAAATGTGTTACAGAGAAGTTCATTGTGTCTGAAGTTCACGCAGGAAGCCTGTAGCCCAGGTAGAATTTGAACCTTCCCACACTGGCACTGAAAGCCTATGTGATGAGCTCTCATGATGCAGAAGCCACTGTACTGTCATGAGAGTTTAGTGCTAAACAAAAGTGCCAGTCACATAACACAGAAGATGATGGGTTTAAGTCTCTTTAGTAAAACCTCGCCTAAATTACTAAACCAATCTTATAATCCAATCAAAGAATCTGGAATAGAAAGAGGAGAAATCTGAAGGAGGAGGAAATTATGTTCTTTCGCAAAGTGATAGAGACCACCTGTACAGGATCTGAACCTGGATCTTCTAACAGCCAGCCATTTTCACATGGTCAAAAAGAAGGTGTTATTATCCTTTTGATATAAAAAAAGGTTCGGGGTTGGTTTGTTCGGGGTTTTTTGGTTTTTGTTTTTGTTTTTGTTTTTGTTTTTGTTTTTTTTAAATACTAGTGGATCTAAGCTTAAAAGACCTTAATAATATTACTGAATCAGGACTTTAATATGCTGATTTAAATAACCTAATTTAAGGCAGAAAGTTTCATTTTGAGTGGGTCAAACAAACCACTTTAAGACCTAATTAATTTTTGAAATGTGAAAGCCGTCAGAAATATGGTCACTTTTTGTAAAATTGCATCCTATATGAAGCATAATAGCATAGAGCAGGTACAATCACAAATAACTTCACTGAAACATTTGGAAATATTGTGAAGCATAAAGGAAGGCCTGAGCCTCACAAGTAGTTATGATATGATCTGAAGTGTGCCCAAGAGTCCCTGTTCCTGTCCACATGCTTTGTGCAAGCAGTAACTTCATATAGGGAATAGATTTGCAGCAGCACCTCATGCCAACAGGCAGCCAGGGCATGTTCTCAGGGCATCCTCAGCAGATGAGGATTTGGGGGGACAGCACTTGTGGTTACAGAGCTATCAGCTACATCTATATCTTGCAGTTTACTGTATCACATGCTCTGAAGCTATATGCCTGCTCTGGAAGTCTCCTTTTTTCCTTCTGTCCATCTGTAGTCACAAGACCTCTAACATTGCCTTTGATCCATATCCAGAATCCTTCCAGATTCCTGCCCACATCTCCCCAGTCTTCAGACTTCTGTCAATTAAGTCTTCCATCCCACCTCTCATTTCTAGTATAGTTTATCACCTTAAGCTCTGGTCCTTACCACAAAAAATCCAAACTCTACTACTAGTGTCTTGTCATTAATTACAAGAATTCTTACTTTTTGGACAACATATGTTTGTCTCCAGTATATACTACAGGTCTTGCTGGAAATAATTCACCCAAAAAATCATGATTTGCTAATCAGAAACAAATGCATGTATCTCACTTTAAATTATTAAAAAGTTCCTGTTTTTTTCTGTTACTCTAATGTCTGTATATGTTAATTAGGAAACAACAAAAATGAAAAATTATTTTTTCCATAGTATGTGAATAAATCTAGCATTTGATGGCTGACAGTGATTTAAAATTTTATTAGCAAAAACTTTGGTAGGTGTGGGTAGCAATCATTCACTAACCAGTAAAATCTTTTGGTATTCCCTAAATGGAGCATATGTTAAATGACAGTGCACAGGCATATTCATCAAAGCAGTGGGAACATTGTATTCTATTATATTGGGAAAATACATACAGTTCTAATTCCACTGTAGCGTCAAATCATGTGGCTGTATCACTGTTAATTTGTAACTCTGAATCTGGTCCAGGATTCCCTACATTGTGTATCTGAAGGGAATATCTACACACAAAAAAAAGATGTGGCTCTAATTCCAGAACATGCTACTACATCTTACAGACAACAAAAGCTACCTGGATATGGTAGTAGAGACTTTTAAGAGCACCTATGCATCAAATTGCTGTGGACACCAAAACTGAATTGTCCCTACTGCCATTGTAGATCAGCTGCATGACACTATCTCATCTTCAGTTTGCTCTAGACATATGGGTCACTTGGAGAAAAAGTGCATTTGATTTATTTGAAGATTCTTTAACAAATTGTGAGTATTTAACGACTAGACTAAGTGTGATAACACAGAACTGTGTTCCCATTGTCACCTTGACACAGATCATTTTACATGACTATTTTATTATGTAAGGTGTTTAGAAATGCCATAACTCAACACTAGAACACAAGTAGATAACTAAATAGCATGTAAATAAGCTGATTTTGAGGAATCCTTGTACTTTAATATTAGTCATTGCAAGGTCAGAATTGAACAGCCCAATTCCCACTGAACAAAAATATATTTTCTACTGTCTTCAGCAGTCTTTTATTGAGTACTAGAAAACTTTTTTAATAACGATATGCATTCCCAGACAGAACTCAACGTGTTTATCTCCAACCATATTTGTTCTAAAATAGGATTTAAAAGTTGCATGACAAAACATTAATATTTTACACTTCTGCAGCAGTTCAAATCTGAGTATCTCAAGACACACTATACAGATTATTAAATTCAACCTTACAGAAGCTCATGCAATGTTGCATTATAAAGACATAAAAATCATACAGTAAATAAGAAGAATCCTGAGTACAATTAGTATGAATCTCAAAAGGTCCATTTTAGAATCACTTATTCTCACCACTTCCCATGAGTACAACTGAAATGCAGACATTCTTCTTCAAGGTAAAAATTAAACAAATGGGGGGCATGAAAAAAATTCAACGTAATAGTAAATGACTGACTGCCACCTGCTGTGCCTTAAGCTGTTTCTTTTGACAGATGAAGTATCTCTGATCATAGATTAAATGAAATCTGAGATTTGTACTTGTTAACACAAAACCACACAAGACAAAAATGAAAAATATTCTTCCTAGTAAGTGGAAAGTTATGAATCAGTTAACCCAATCAGTTACATTTCCTAATTGTAATTTTAAAGAATTTTCACACCTAGACACCCACAAAATTTTCTGTTTTAATGGACTTTCTCAACTGTAAATTTTACTAAATAACACATATACTGGAGTATAAATTAAAAGGGACAAATCTGAATTTTACAGTGTAAGCATTTTTTCTTCTCCCTCCTCCCATAGTTCTCCCACTAAATGACAGCCTCACAGACCTGCTATTGTATATAAAAATTTTTAAAGAAGCCTTAGGAAAAAATACTGTGTTCTCCAGCAGAATTCCAAAAACTAACCCATTTCTGGCAACAGGAACAGTGTTCACTGTACCGTGAAAACAATATTATGTATTCAGTCTTAAAAAGAACTTCATTTCTCTTACAGGTATGAGGTCTGAAATCCACACTTGAAAATCTTCAATGGTTGCACCTTAACAGCACAGCATCCACAAAATAGATTTCATTGATTGCCAAGTGTTTCTTACCCTTGCTTGCTGTTTTACAGTATTAGAAAATAAAACATCACAGCAGATCAGGGAGAAATAAATGTAATGTACACTAAGTTTTTATATATAATCATAAATATCTTTTAGTAATGCCACAAATACTAAGCTGAAAAGAAATATCTGAAAGGAAGGAATGCTATGGAATACAGACAATGCCTATAAACCTGGTGGAAAGAAAAGAAGAGATACTAGAAAAGAAGATACTAGTCAGTGTGGACAGCCTTCACCATCACACTTACCACATTCACAAAAATTAGGAGGATCCTAAGATGCAACATGTTATTTTTCTAGTCATGAATGGAAAATTATTATATCAGATCAATGGAGGGAAAATAATTTTAAAACCCCAATAAGAATTATTATTGTTAATAATAATAATCTGTTAACCAAAACTTTCTACTGGAATGCTTCATCTTCAAAGTTTCCATTCACCACCACTATCTTAACTCATTTTTTGTTTCTTAAATTAGTAAGATTAGTCAGGATTAATCTGCTTCCTCAATAAGCCTTTTCCAAAGCGGAAAAATAAAAAGTAACAGTGAAAGGAGGATAAGCATTTTAGTATACATTAAATCAACAGACTAAGCCTTTTTCAGTAACAACAGCTGGATGATAAAGATTTGTGGAGATTTATTATTATCACTGCAGTTGCATCTATAAGTCCTATTGGTATAAAATCAATGATGGTAGTTACTCCATAAATACACTAAAAAAGGTAACTCCTGTCTCAAAAAGATCGAAGATTCACCTTGGTAGAGGAATAAAACAACACATGAGAGAAGAGCCTAATATTTTACCGTATTACAATGCTTGAATCAAATAAACCCCAATCACTTTAGTTCAATGATTCTTGAATGATACATCTTGATCCCAATTGTGGAAGGGGAAGAAGATCACAAAGAACATTTTTAGTAGAAATATAGCTGCAATCTTGTAAATATCTTTAGTATTTCAAATAGAACAAGAAAATTATTTTTTAAACACTACCCTGTATACCTACTATAACCTTACTGCTTAATTGTTAAGTTTTTCCTAAATTAAAATATGTTATTTCAAATGAAGAGCTATCAACTCAAACATTTTAAAAAACTGCAATAAATATTCTAAGATTAACTGAATATTGGAATCAACATTTCCAAAACATTGCACATTGCTAAACAGGAATGTAGTAAAGGGAGAAATGTTTCACTCTATTCCAATTTTACCTGTTCCAAATAATGTAACGAGAGGTTGATATATTTGGCTTCTGTCAATAAGTGACCTCCAACTCCAGTTTTTGCAACACGCTCTGATCCAGCAAGGTCTACTAAGTGTAACTTGGAGCGTCGGATAGTTGCAGATCCAGGTTCCTTGCTGGAGATGTGAATAGTGAAAATGCAGTGAGATCGGGTTGAGGCTTGATTCATTGGTGTCTACAATGAAAAGAAAGGCAGTCTTCAATGTTCATTTAATAAATAAATTTAGCTCAATAATATGGCGATTGAAATCACCTATCCAATTTTTTTTAGCTATTGCATCTGTAATAAATATGCAAGAAGAACCCAAAAGGATTTACCTGGCACTCTCTGTCAGAATACTGGGATAACTTTGATCTGGACAAATTATACTGGAAGCAATCAAGCAACTATCCTTGTTCCAAGATACGCTAATAGTGAGTACATCAGCAACGCAGCTGGCCTTATTATGCTGAGGAATACTGAGGAATACTAGAAAAGGGCACCTTGATGGGAGGGAAAGTTACTAATTCCTGATCTCCAAGAGGTTATCAATTTCCTGGGTAAGCCCATTTTAAACTATTTTTGGCGATGTAGCTACCAGTGTAACTGAGACTAGAACTTTCTGTAAGGCTTTAGATTTTCACATTTTCATTACTTTCATGAAAAAAATTTAACTTGGCAAAATCAGTATCAGAATTTTATGTGGCATGACAGAGTTTTCATAAAACGTTTGGCTTTAAATATATTTATTTGGAATAGCTACTGCTATATTTCTTTAACCAGACACATGGAAATTCTTGGTCAATTTTTAGAGATGCTCAGCCTTATTATGACTTTAATGGTGTTCCCAATATATTTGAAATGCAGAACAGAAATTTTTAAACAGCTCTCAGATATTTAATTTTAGATTTCAAATGACCACTTGCCATCACACATGCACCTTTCTTTTCTTAAACTACATATAAAAAAATCTTAAAATATCTAAAGCCTCTTTCATTTAGTTGTATCAAGCTGTTGTTGGAAATGTAAAACTAAAAGAATTCCTTATTATCCTCGTTTTAGAAATAGCTAAAGATTTAGAATATATATGGAGATTATAGGTTTACCATACAAATAGTATTTTTATTTATAAACTATAACAAGTACGACTACATTGTTATCAGGGCATAAGTACTTGACTTGCAGAAAAATAGGGTAGTGAAATAAATTAATAAATAAATATTATTGAGTCAGTAACTAAATTTACACTTATTTAAAGCTGTTTAAAAAGTTCATTAAAAATCCTGGTTAATTTGTACACATTAATCTCTTGTCTATACTTTATTCCTCTGTTATTTTAGAATAATTATTTATCTAGGCATAACCTGTGATTCAGACTAGAAATAACCTGCCCATTGCAGGTGTTGAAGGTGTTGTCATGTTAACCCAGAAAGCACCGCTCTTAACAGAAAGACTGCAAGCTGAATATACCAGGAATAATATGAACAGCTATACTTCTTGGTTGAACTGTCTCCCCTTCAATTTCCCAATATTTTTTCCCAGCCTTAATAGTGTCAGCACAGCTGAACTGTTTTTGTGACCTGATCCAGCTCAAAGAAAAAGAAATAAAAAAGTCTGCAAACCATAGATATTTAACCTGGATCAGTTTGCCGATTCAGTCTCAGCACAGCTGTAGAAAGCAATTCTGCTAGAACAATTGAAAATGGCAGCATACAGCATGTGAACAAGTACGGGGTGTGCAGGAATAGCATACGCTTGTAGTTCTTGGTGAAAATTCTGTAATGAAATTACAGCCTTTAGCACTATTTTATTTTGGTCTGCTTTACCTAATAAAGCCAAGCTCGGAGAGGGAGAGGCGTTTTGATCATTAGTTTATACAGATGAGGAATTTTGGAATAATATAGGTAAGCCACTGGCTCTTCTTAATTGCCTGGTTTCTAAGGATCATTTCACAGTCCTGTGAAACGAGCATCAGAGTGCAGTCACATGCTACGCTGTCTTCAAAGGCAAAGCTGAACAAATGAAGGGGCAGTGAGTTGTAGCATGGGAATGAAAATAAGCAGGTTCAAGGAAAGGTGTCAAGCAAGAAAATACTCCCAAACATATTTAAAATGCTGTTATACTAAGAAAAAGTTATATGCTGTTAAAATGTACTTTATTCAGCAATTCTGATTCCATGAACAATCAGAGCCAGCTTCACTTATTTTACTAGGAGAGCTATAATTTTACTACTTGCAGCTCTGTGAAGCAGGACTGGACATTTTATTTTTCCAGCTCAAAATCCACAATAGGATTAATATTTGAGGACATTCCTCAACAGAATGGATATTTGAGGACATTTTGCACTACAGTCATGGCATCAGTCACACTATACTGCAGATAACCCTAAGCCAGATCGAATATCAATACAGGTCTAGCTATGGAAGCACAAAGTAAAGGTTGATATGAAAGAAGCAGAAGATATCATCATACTTCAGAATAAGTATGTTTAAGGAAACTTCAGTTTTACTACGCAGCAAAACTTCATGTATTTCAAAATGTGCTTTTAGTCACACCTGTTTAACCCCAAAAGAGGCAAAACAAATTTAAAGCACAAAGGAAAATAATTCCAGGCCTCAGTTCCAAAAGCTTGGGGCAATATTTGGCCTATTAGGTCTTTATTGGCTATAGCAATACACTAGCCACAATTTGGTTTTACATGTTCCAAGCAGATTCTGCTGGACCAGTCATTAGAAATTCCATTGCCTTTCTCTCCACAACTTCTTTTTTTATGTAAAATGAGCGAAGCTGATTTGGAAGTCATTGGCTAGAATCCTAAATTGTTATTTTTATAAAGTCTTTCTTCAGAGTAGAACCATGCTTTAATCAATACACCAATACTCCATTTTACAATACGATTCTATCCCTACTTTGCAGTTCCTGTATATAGAAAGCTGTATTAGAACTCTTGCAGGAAGTGTAAAGCAATAAAAATGTAAACTGTTAAATGGGATGTGATCATGAAATGTTAATTACAGTCATAATCTCCCACACTTTGCTACTTTTACCACACAAGTAGACGCAAAGTGCACAGCAACAGAAACGACAACTTGTCAGCATCTTCAGTCCAAAAATAAGCCTGTTTGTTTGCTATCTTGCATATGCAACTTCTGAGTATTACCATTCAGCTGTTCAGAAAGTTTGAAAACTGAAAACAAACAAACAAAATTTTCTGGACAGTATCTCAGAGCCTACTAAAAGGTTCCTTTAATGGCTTTCAGAGTTCATTTTGGCTTTGTTAGCAGTATTCAAACCATATGTATATGAAATCATCCTCACACTAATTTGATGTGATGAAGGAAAAAAAGAAAGAGGGGAGTGGCCTGGCTTTCAGCAGATGGTTGCTATTGTGAAAGTTATATATAGAACAACTGATGAGTTGCAGTTACTTACAAAGAAATAATTTTTTTACAGGAATTCTGTGACATCATAAACCACATAAGCAGACTTCAGATGCTTTGTGATATCACATGAAAACTACAAAGGAATTAATGCCAGGTCATCTATTGCTGCCCATTTGTGGCATGGTAAAAGAGGAATTCAATAACATTTCTTTCAAGATCATAATTTGGTAAAGCATCAGTGCTTTGTTTGATCTTGGAAAATATATACTAAAGATATTTCAACCCATACAACCCAGTCTCCTTCTTCTCCAGGGTCAGGATATACTTGAGTTTGCTGAAATTAAATAAATGGTATAGAAGCTTTGTGACTTAAGCCATTAACATCTATTCATACAACGGTTGCAAGAAGGTGGTTTCTACTTAAATAAGAACCTGCAGCACGGCCATATTGCAAGAAGCATCCAAGTCGGTTGTTTCTGTCAAGGAATACAAGGTCACGAAAGGTCCAAAAACTTGGTGGAGCCTAGGTTACCTATCTTAATCTAATTGTTATCTATCTTAAATCAATGAAACACTGCAGGAGTTCCTCCCTATACAAGAATGTATGTATTTCACAAATCCTTTATTTGTTGCAGCTACTATTATAAATGTTGTTTTCACTAGTAAGAATAGCCAGAAATAGGATGCTACTGGTCTAAATAGAGTTCTTAATAATTGAGGATCTAAGAAGGAGAAAGTATCTTAAATAGGAGAAAAACATAGCAAAAGCTGTTTGACAATCACCATTAGACTAACAGAAGCTGCTATTATCTGTAAGAACAATGTGTTGATTACAGTTGCCAAATGCACTCAAAGAAAATACAGAAAAGAGTTCAGGACAGCTGGGACAATAAGATTTCACAGGTGATAAACGCAGTCATTCAGCCCATATTGCAAACCATCTCCACTTGGCAGTTTATACAGTTCCAGTGGAATCTTTTCTTCCTTGAATCAAAATATTTAGACATCAGAAGAACATGATTTTCGTGTATGAGTGAATTAGTGACTAGCCAAGGCATAAATGAAGAAAGGCTGGTTCTGAATGCTCCTATTTTTATTTTTTTTTTGAGAGAGAGAATGCCTCAGTGAAAAAGTACAAAATTTTGTCTTAAAGAGTGTTTCTTTCTCCTCTTCAGTGTTTTTCACTTTTGAACTTTTTGAAGAAAGGTGAGAGAAAAGAGAAAAGTACTGATAGCATCCAAGGCTGATATCAAATTGATTTTCTCCAGTCTCAAGCTACAATCAGATGGATACCCGTAGGAAGAAGTTCTGACAGCTTCAGTTGTTTCACAGTTAGATAGTAAGAAAACAGCCATGGTGTCCTACAAGAATGATAATAAAGCAATATAACACAGTTTGTTTCTGTGGTTGAAACTTATCCTATAGGATATTCTGGTGTTCTCACATTGCTTATTTATAGCACAGAACGTCACAAGACTCTGCAAGACTGAAGGAGCAGAGAATCTTCGTTGAAAAACAGTGGATATATCTGTCTGATTAAGATAAACTCCACCAGTTCCAACAGAAGCATGCTATATGAGAGGGTATGTAAGTTGAAGAACAGGAGGCTCCTGCCGTTATATCTGGTAGATGACTGAGACCTTAATACGTCTTTAGTTTCCTTTCTGATTAATATGGTACAAGTGAAGGGTCTCTTCAGGTGTACTTAGGCACACATGACATAGCTGAAATTGTAAAGTCATTGCTATGAAAATATAAGGATCAGAAGAGGTGCAATCTGACACTTCCTTGACTTCTAGAAGCAATAATTTATATTTCTGTATTTACTACAAGTACAGTTTCACATTTAGACCATGGTAACTGAGGTAACTTTTAAAGTAATCAATATTCCCTGGCGAGGATATTATTAAACTCTACATTATACAGTGCCTTTTATACATAGAAATCCCAAAGCACTTTAAGGACTATTCAAAGTAGCACGTATGACCAGTGATTGTTTTACCCCACACAGAAATGAAAGCACCTGTGCTGAAATGATGATGTCATTTGGTGCTAATAATACTATAGAACAGGCTTGTCAGAGTGGAAATAAATTAACAATTGACACCAGTGAGGAACCTAGGAAAGCAGAAATTTGTAACTCATTCTGGAATGCAGCTCTAGCATAGATAACATGCCTTCTTGGCAAAAGTGTCATTTATTCTCATATGTTCACACATTCAAATCCTCTTTTTCATATTTCACCCAAGAAAAAATGCATTCAAACACTATCAGTGGCTTTCTAAATACATTCAAGAGAATACTAATGGACAATAAAAATAAATACAAAGGGAATGAATCCAAGTCAGAGGTCACAAGTCACTCCCCACAACTATCTTTAAATGTTAAAAGTTTCATTTTTTCTTGAAATAAACATATTTAAACATTGCCAAAAGCTAACTTCTTGCCCCATGTGTACTTCAGACTTTTTAAATGATGGAACAAATACTGTGTAGTATGCACTGTCTTCCAAATTTGAACAATGGAGTATTATAGGTATAAAACCATGCAGTAAAACATTTCCTTCCTCATTAAAATGAAGTAATTTTTCATTAGTGGAAAAACAAATGCTAATTGTACATGCAACTGCAGTGTTCAGACATATCAATCTCACATAAAGTTTTTACAGTTTTGAAACTGATGAAAGCCCTTGAGAAGCTACTGGGTCTACCTTACGCTGCTATTTTAAGAGAAATACTAAAAAAGTGTTATGAATTCTCTAAATCACAGACATTCAGGCATATTACTTCAAAGTACAGTGATCTCAAGAGTTTCCCATCATAAGAATTTAGAAAAGAGCACTTCAGCTGAAGACATACTAATAGCATACCTACCAAAATAAAATGGTTTGTAAACACTACTTAAATGGCCAAACACTTCTTTCTGTATGTGAGCTTTTTTAGATACTGCAGTTACCATCTGTGTCATATACGCAAATTAGATTTTGGAATCCTTTGTCTGCATGTATTTGAGATACCTAAATCATAAAGTTAGCTTAAAAATTGAAATATAAAAAATAAATTAAGATTTCTTTTTAAACTTGTTGCTGAGATTCTTATGCATTCAAATGTAACAAGAAACTGTGTTTAATGGGAAAAACATACAACCAAACAATAATATAGCCCTTACAGTTGGAAAAGCTGCCATCAAAAGAATCAGCTTTTTGGATTTGCTCTCTGCCTATTCCCCCCTGGCAAAACAGAAGTGACAAAAACTTCCTATTTGGATTTTTACGTTATGAAGTGTTTGTGCACAGCTGTCTCCCATCTTACCATTTCCACAACTTGTAGTACATGTCAAAACTAGAGCAAAGGATTTGTCCTATATTGACCTATAAATCAATCCTGCACAAATTATATTAGCTTCCTCTTCCTTCTCACGAGCTATAAAGTTACATGTGGGTAAGAAGTATTCGGTTATAAACGTTCCCTTTGGTTCTGACATTTAATGAATGAATGTAGCATATAGAATACTTTTAATATTATGATCACTTTCTTTTTAGCACAGGCAGTGATGAAGGCAAAATGCAGCCCTCAAATCACAAGTTAGACTCCACTAGCAGAGCCACTGCAGAAATTAAATTCTCATTCTTATTTTCAAGATGGTCCTGTAACTCTTCAAAGAAGGGTTATCTCAGGGGTAAAGCATTAGACTGCAATTTTAGAGGCCACAGATTTCATATGTGATCCATGACAGTCATCTTAGTTTTTCTGTAGCCAAACTCCTCATCATTTAAAAAGATGAATCAAGCATTTCTTTTACTTTCTTTTCTGTTTAGGTTTATTCATCTTGTGTCTTTTTCTTTAAAGTTTACTTAAATAGGGTCCTAATATTCTTTGAGGTCAGGAATTGTTATCATAATTCAATTAAGGTTTAAAAATATGGATCTCTGGAGAAGAAGTTATGGTTGATGTCATAAGCCCTCTTCCCTAAACCTCTAATTTAATCCCTCATTTCTGCAAACACTATTTTCTCTTTCTGATAAGTCATCATGTAAAGTACCACAATCACCTAAAGACAAAAACGATAATGGGTGATAAATTCTGTAATACCTAAGAGGAAGCAGCACTCAGTAAGCTCGCTGAACTGTACTGCAACATACCTGCTGCAATGGGAAAAGAACAATGTATGAGATAACTACATAAATAAAACTTCCACAATGAAACCCACCTCATCTCAAGCTTTTGGAATCATATTAGCATTTAGACTAAGTAAAGTAAATATTTCTGCAATGCGTGGTAGTTATTCCAAGTAAGTATTCTCTGCATTTTTTTTCTTTTAAGTACTCTTCATTAAAGACCAATGAAACAATAACTTGATAATGTTTATATACAAAAAACTCTTGCTGTGGCAAAAGCAGCAAAAGTGACACTGACACAGCATTTGCTAACCCAAGTCACGCAGATTACTGAATTCTCTGCTACTGGGGTCTCACACATTCTCCTGTCTATTCTTATGTTTTCTAGCAAGTAGTAGCATGCCCCAAATAAAACTACCAAGTTGTAGATTCAAAAATAAGCTAAAGGAGATTTTTTCTTCACACAACACAGTTAAGTCATGGAACTTTGTGTCACATGAGATTTCATGACAAAAATTTGCCAAAGTTAAAAAAAGCATCTGGGCAAATTCTTGTAAAGAAAAAAATACAACAAAAGTTATTAGCTATACATAGTCTGAAACACAAACTAATGAAGATTAGGAGATTTTTTAAAAAAAAAGTATCATTACTTACTTGGTTTATCTTTTCTCTATATATTTGCTAGTGGATATTGTTCAAAACAGAAAACTGGAGCAGATATGTTTGGTCTGACACATTAAGAATATTCTTTTATTTTTACTGAGCACTACTTCATCTTGACCTTTAATGACTTACCACCTTCATTAGTCCTGCTATTTGTTCATGACTTTCAGTGTTTGAGATATATTTTCTCTTTAGGCAACATTTTCCAAATATGTAACACAATTGCCCTTTACAATTGCTGATTTATGACCCTGTCAGCCAGCAGCACACCATTCTTTAAATATTCTTCTCATTTTCATACACAGCTCCTCTACACTGATCAGAGATTTCTTGAAGATCTTTTTCCATGCAATGAACTTTCTTTTCCTGTTTTCATTACCAACTATCATGATAGGTTTTCAGTCTTGTGAACCCAATGTCATCTTTTTGTCTCCTCTATTACACTTTTTCAAGTTCCTCTCCTCTAAATTGTATAATTTTCTCTATTTCAATACCATCAAATGGTTCTTTACCTCAATATTCATATTTACTAACAGTCTTTAAGCACAGCTTGATTATCTCTTGCCTTAATGTCTTTCTGTCTCTCAAAATGTCACTGCCAAAATAGTCTCCTTTCAGATCAAATCTGGCTTTTGCCTATTCATATTTTGTAATCAAAAATCAAATCTTCCCCTGTGCCCAGGTGTACATGATCAGCCAGCAGGAACAGAGCGCTACTTGACTATTTCATATACCTTAAATGTCTTTCTTGTCATTGATTTATTATATATCTATTTAGTCAGACAGAGGAAGAAAACCCACAGATTTCTAGAGTAGAATTAGCTGTGTTGTAGTAAAGACACACTGACAGGGCTCGCATTATAAAATACGCTTTTTATATTTACATTCCATTTCCAAGTATGAAGAAAAAAAAAATCTACACATTTTGGATATGGAAATATTTCATTTAAATTTTCCAGAATCAGTAAAAACACCCTTATTTTTGCATATTGGAAAATATTTGTTTTGAATGTGCTTCACACTACCATTGGTTTTTTTATGACATAACACCACGTGCTCATGCAATAAGAAGAAAAAAGAGGGGATTGCCAACACTTATGGTAACTGCTTCAAAAGCAAGTTAGTACTTCTGGAGGAAAGTCTGACAATGCTTTGTAAGGCCATGTTTTCTAATCTTTAAATGTGTACGTATGTTGATACATGCTACATTCAAAATTGTCAATGGTTTATGAGAAAAATTTTTTTCTTACTTAATTTTTATTTAAGTAAGTTATGACATCAACAACCACCAATCAGATTCACTAAGGAAAAACAGAAAGCTCTTTGCAAAGTGAAAGCTATCATCAGAGAAATGCTTACAATTTCACTGTGGAAATACACGGAGAAAGAAGATACTCATTTATCTGCAAGGACTTCCAAAATATACGTCTTATGTGGAGAAGTTTACAATCATTTTAACTGTGGTGGTTGTAAGTAATATTTGTAGCAGCAATTCTCACCTCAGCAATCACTCTGTTGGTGTCTCCTAAGAAGAGTAGGTTTAAGGCTTCCTCTTCATTTGTTGCTTGCTGAAGAGACAAGTTTTTCAGATGAATGTTCTGATCAGGGTCTTCCATTATTGTCACTTTTCTACATGGAAAAAAATCCAAAACAAAACAAAATGAAAACTAAAATTGTTGTAAGGCAATCTTTGTTCCATTCTTTCGCTTACACCTAACAGGTGACAACTAAAACCCAAAACCAATCCTAATAAAAGAACTAAAACCATGAAGACTAAATGATGCAAATTAAAGGAGGTGCTGAATTTTTTTTTAACTCTATCACTTCCTTTTTTGGTGACAGATCAGTTCCTTTATTATAAACCTTCACATAGAAAAGAAATATATAGAATCTATTAGAGAAAGCTTTGGGATTTTTTTAATGAGATAAACTCTCAAGAGCAAGAGGTTAGATGAATCATCACAAACAAACAGTAAGTTAAAGGTTGATTTGCCATTACCACAGCTATTTAAGCACAAATGATGCATAAACCATACCATAATCTTGATGAACAAATAGGCATGGAATATATCAGAATCAATACATCTGTAGTCAACATGTTTCTAATAACTTTGCATTTGTCAAGATTATTTCTCTTTTAATTCTTATCAAATGGTAATAACTACAAATGTAAATGACCCTTTCTTAAATTATAAGTAAGCAAACAGAATGATTTTATTTCCACTCAGGTTAGAAATGTTCTTAGTTGTACTTCTTTAAGCCTTAAAGTTCAGAAGAAGGAAGTTAGATGGAAGTAGCAAGGATATGGCAAAAGCTCCAGGAGAGCTACTAAATATTACTGACACTCCTTTTCACTTCTTTAAATAGCCCTTTTAATTAAGATTTTTTTCTTTTGATCATATTACTGAGAGTTCAACTTTTTTGGCTTTATTGAGTAGCCATTAGGGTCTCCTCAGTTAGGACATTCTATAGTATCCAATGTGGAAGCCAAGTAGTTGCATCACTGGATTTGAAAAACTGCCAGAGTGAAGACTTTGTTAAAATTGAAGTACATTAATTCTGAGGATGAATGACACATCCTTCAGGGTGAATTACATGTTCTGAAACAACTTACCACAAGCAAATTAGAACTTTCTTAAAAGTTAGAAGCTTTTTTTTAAAAAACAATTTTTTCCCTGTAAGTGTAGATAATACTTTATATATATATAAGTATACACATATGTCTATACATATATGTGTGTATATATATATATTTTTCATATTCTTCAAGGTTAACCACAAGAGGGAGTATGGTGCTTGAGTTTTTATCTCTAGATAGTTCTTGCATGTTAATTACTCCAAGCTGCTTCAAAACCACACAGGTTGGGTTTTGTTTTGCTTTGCTTTGTCTTTTTTTCCCCAGAACTGACAGAATCAAATCGAGCAGCTAAGCAGCATTCCATAGTATTGCTCTTAAGTATTAGGGAAATAGTTCACACTGATGGTCAAAACATTGGAATGGATACATAGAAATATTTTGAAGACATTGCAATACACTTACTAATTTCAAGAAAAAAATACATGTAAAGGTACACACAATGCTCCTTTAGTTGTCGTAACAATTGTTTTCCCAAGTACGATTGCCTGCTATTTATAGCCTTATTTTTGTGTGGTAGAGTAAGAGACCACGCTACTACAGTCATGAAACTCTGCTTTCCCCATACAGATCGTAAACGCAAAAGCATAATTCTGCTCTGGCATAACAATGTTTTGATAATGTCAAGTTGTACTCTGTCCACAATTCCATCTGTGTGTGCATCACATGCTAAAGCCCAGAGTGGTTCTGATTACAGTATGATGCTTTGACCAATTTTAATACTTTGAAATTGCACAGTAAGCATCATCTACCTCTTTTTATAATTTAGGAAAACAATGTTGTTTTACTATGCACACTTGACATAGTATTTCAACTTTTAAGGATCTTTTCAGACTACATTTTGATAAATAGTTATAAATAATTTCCAGACAACAAAGGTATTAGTTTGGATGAAAAGATCTGGAGGATTATTATATCAGAAAGAAGACAGTTGGGACATCACAAACCAGTGACAGTTTCCTATACAGTGGCCTTGCAGCAATTGGGAGGATTTCCAGATGGAAGTCTAAACTTGCACATCTTGAGAGGTATCTGTCAAAACTTCCTCAGAAAGACATGTTCCAAAATGACAACAAAATGATTTATTTTATAGTGCTATAAAGTTACTGTATAATACAATAATAGATTTCTATAGAATGTTCTCTGTATTAATGAAATTTTTAAATTTCATAGCTCTAACTTGGATCTTGGAGTGGAAAAGCTCTGTTAAGTTATCCATAATGACTGTAAGAAGGCAGAGACAAGGTTTTATTTTCTTTATAAACAAAGAATCTTTTCCATTTGGCTTAATGGATGGAATTTGTAGCTGTAGGAAACCTGTAGGATGGGATCAGCTTTTTTTATACTGTTATTAACTCGGGCCTTTTCCTGCATCAACTGATCTGCCATTAATGCAAGAGAGTCTTACACACTGAATGCTTTCATTTATAAAATTCTTGTTACTGGCAAACAATGAAGTTAAACCTTCCTCGGACAAATTAATACCATCTCATTAATTTGTGTAATATAAATTAAAGAAACACTTAAAAGATTTTGGAAAACAAATAAGAATTTTAAAAATCAAGTTTCCTATGATTATATCTGTCTCTAGGGCTTAGAACTGAAGAAATAATATAATAATAAAATAATCTGAAAAACTTTATAAATATTTAAAAATCAATCATAATGATGTAAACAAATAATATATAAGGTTATATATCTTCTATGACAATATATAAGCAGAATATAGTGATATTACTTCAGCATGAGGAAGAGGCTCTACAGTTAATGATAAATTTAGGAAAAGGATAAAAGACAAAAGCAGCAAGCAAGCATCTTTGAGACTGTCCAGAAGAACAGAATAAAGTAATCGGTAACTACAGCTAATCTTTGTGTAAAGTTGCAAGGACCTTTAACTTTTAAGACAGAAAGACCAGATCATAATTTTATATATCATCCAAAAAAGTATAGCTTCAGAAGTAAAGCTCCCTGAATACCACATCAGAGGACAAAGTCAACACTGATTCCAGAAGCAAGGTTACAAAGTTATTCAGCCACCAGCACAGCTTTCAATAGCACAGAGATTTGATTTTCCATTCAAATATAGACTTAGAGCATAACCTCTTTAGCCTGTGAGACATGATAGAAGTATGAGATGAGTAAGTATTGGTGCAGCCTGTTCTCCTGACACATCATATTGTGACAGGAAACCCTTCCCACTGTCTTCAACAAATTCTACATGTGAGACAAGAGAAGCACAGTTTGCTTGTTCTACACTTTATGGACGTAGGAGTGTATTGATACTGACGGAGAGGCTGTTGCACGTTTAGGAGTTGGTGATGCACGTAACAGTTAACCCGAGCAGGTGCAGCCTGTGCTGTGCTGCATGTACAGTGTGGCATTCAGGTCTCTGTGCTGCACAGAGCCCTTGGCTGCAGGATAAATTCACCCAGGTCATAGTAACACAAGAGCCTGCAGGCAGTTCCCATCTGGTCATCACATCACCTGTATGGCCTTGCTTTTACCAAAAAATGAAGGAAGAAGTTCTCGTGAGAACACCTTTTAGAAGTGCATCTGTTTTCTTGTAAGGAAATTACATAATAGCAGGAATAAGCAAAGGGGAAAGCTTCTCTCCACCGACAGGATCTGTGTTGCTCTGTCCAGTGCGCCGTGGGGAAATCCATTCAGGCTCTGTCTGATGCTGCACGAACGTGGAGTGCCCAGCATCTGATGGGATGTAAGATTTACTTGCCATCTATATTTCTCTTCTTATTCTGTTTTATTAAAGCAGTTACCTTATTAAGCAATTTGTTATTGTGCCTTTCTTACTGAGCTCTGGAAAAAGCCCTGCACCAGCTCGCTCTCCCCCCTCATCCCACCAGGCAGAACAAGGAGTCAGAACAGAAACAATTAAATTGGTGGTACACGTACAAACAAAACATATAAGATTTGTTAGAATTTGGAGGCAATTGCAATAATCTCACTCACAAAAAAAAAATGTTTGTTAAATAATACTTTGATATTCAAAAGTAAAGATGCCTTCAATAGCACAGCAATAATCAGAACTGAGTTAATTTACTCATCCGATGTCTTTAGAAAAGTCACTTTAGAAAAGTTTCATTGACTTCTTCCTACTGCTTTTCAAGGAAACAAATCAACATAAAATTTGGATGGGAATAAACAATATATAGTGTATGCTGAAGTTATTTTACACATTTAAAGTGTAATTTGTTTGAACTATAATGAACAAAAATCTTTGAAGAAATGATTCAGAACAGTTTTCAGCTGTCTCCTCATTAACAAACAGAAAAGCTTAAGTTTACAAACCTTTGTATTCTCCTAATCTTTAGTATTCAGTAGTAACACACTGAACACTCTTCATTTTGAAAGAACACATTTCATATGAAAAGAGTGAACTAATATTATTATTAGCCTAAGAAATTTTAAAACACTACTAATGCTCCGAACATTGAAAATATAGTTCTTGAAGATCTATAGATGGTGGCCAGTTTCTAGATTACATACTGGGTACAGCCATTGAAAAGGGGAAGGGCTGACATTAACACTGTTGAGCCTGGGGATAGGCAACAGGTTTATTTGCATCAAAAAAAATCAGACTGAATAAAATATATTTCCTATATGTTGAAAATTATTCCTTTAGCCACTTTTTTTTCCCTTTGTTAAGCGGCACAGGAATTATTATACTGGTTGGTTTAGCTTTGCATGTCAGTAGTTCAGTAACTCTTAAAGCCCTTGGAGACCAGTGGAGAAACAGAAGAATATAAACTCATTTGAGGTAGTTAACCAATATTCAGGTACAGATGTTTTTAGGTGAAAATATTTTATTCTGGCCCCATGGAACATAACATGTTACTAATATACGCTGATAGAGGTATTATTGTTGATGTTTGAAGTTAATTGGCTCTTAGCTTATAGTGTCTTCCTTTATATAGAATTGAGTTCACTTAATCTATAGTTCAAATAAACTTCATCTTTCTGGAACATAAACTGGGAATGAATTCTTAGAGGATTCAATATGACTTAGCTGCTTTGGTTTTTGTTGTTTTGTTTTGTTTTGTCTTGTTTTAAAGTCAGTCAACATCATACTAAACATTATACATTTCCCTATCAAAGAGGACTTCAAGGAATCTTTACACAAAAATGGTGAATCACTTATGCTGGATGGAAATTTAGATTACATTTTTCCCATGTCACATCACTCCTGATTAATGGTTGTCTGAGCTCCCTGTGAAGTAGCTCCGCAACTACTGCAGTTAAAGACTGACATTTTAAGGTAAAATACCATTAATTTTATTTTACCTTCACATGCAAGAGTGTCACCTGCTGTAGTTTGGACAGGTAAAGCAGTAACTTATTGGTTGTCCTGACTTAATTTATGACTGATGGTTCTATAACCTCAGTTTTTATTTTTGTGCTACTGCGCAGTGCCAAGAAAATTCTTACTTCTTAATAAATAATACAAACGAATTAGGATAAGTTTGTATTGGTAGGTTATAACTAAAGTAAACTTGGTTTGATTCAGTATGATGGAGTTGTATAAATTATAAATACACAGTACAATAGAGAACCTGTTAGAAGAGAAAGACTCTTGTATAACCACAGAGCAAATGAAGAGCTTCAGAAAACTTTTCCTAATTTGAACAGTCCTGCAAATCTTTTATGAAAACAAAAGATGGCAGTAAGAATTCAAATAGTCTTCTACCAGCTATATTTTATAGCAATAGTTTTATACTTTTTACATGTTTGAAAACAATCATAATGTCCTTGTATAAACTTGGAACTCGCTACAGCTAGAACCAGAATTAGATTGTCAATATTAAATTAAATTTTTGCATTCTAACAAGTAAGATTCTTCAAATGTATTTGCATCTGTATATGCTGTGTTTCAGCTACAATGTCATAAAATTAAAACACTGTCAGCTTTATGTAAGCAAAACAAGTTACAATTGTAAATTAAGATATATTGTATTTGAAACATTAAGGTATATCAAATGATATTTTCTATGGGCCACATGTAGTAACATTACAACTAAACATCACGAAAACTGTGGGTTTTTTCCTGTGAAAATAAAAGTTCAATGGGATTTCAAAATCAAACTTAGTTGATATATAAATATCTGTACCTATTAGAAACATGATAGATATAAAGAAATATGTATAAGTATACATATATCTACATATTCATACATAAATAATTAGGTAATTCTATATACAAATCTATATGCATATACATATAGATAGACATATTGATATATAGATATATGAACCACATTCGCACATTTGTCAGGAATTTACTTCCAGAAAAGCAGTGATTTTTTGTAAGAGTCTCTTCTCATCTGTCAGACTCTAATGAAATGATTAAGCACTATTAAGATAAAAATATGAGAGTCTACAGAATATACAAAGGATGGCTACACACAAAACCTTGCTTCAGGAGCTCAGATTCCAGACCTAACCAGGCAATGATTAGATGCAATGGGCAATTTAAAAAATTTTATTATTCACTTTGCTTTAAACATCAAATACAATTTTAATGTCTTGCTTCTCAAGTACTATCAACAAGCCTGTTGTGCGCTTTTCATAACTTCTGTTACCTGAATGCCATCACTCTGTGTTTAGTCCTTCCATTGAACTGATAACGTAAAGTCACTAACACAGAGTTTGCTAGGCAGAAGTACATATCTTTGTACATACAAATTGCATCCTCTTCTTTTGCAGGAATATGGGTAACACCACTGTTCCAAAACAATCTGCATACTTTACAAGGCTAACTAATCTTTTGCTTATTCTTCTAAAATGACACATTTCTTCAACACTTTTCTTGTCCATCTTATATACTTGGGAGAATACCAGCACAAACTGCTAATATTTACCCAAGCACAGAAAACCTGCATTTGGCTTTGTACAGTGCTTAAAATCTTGATGATCCACTGTGGAGTTCAACAGGAAATTATGCATACCATGACCCTTTTAAAATACAAAAACCACAAGCTCTTTTTAATATTCTCACTAAATACATTATTTCAAACAAATTTGAGGAAGATAGATTATTCTGTATTCTGCTTAATGCCACTAAAATCTTAAAAAGTCTTAAGAACTTAAAATTCTCAGAAAAATGAAATATATATGAGGTAATAAACACCTGATATATTTTAAAATACGTGATTACTATTTACTTATGTGTAACTACTTCTTGCTTTGTCATTTACAAAAATTAACCAAGTAACTAAAATATAATTAATCATGCAACTACCCTTTCCTGCAATTTGTACTCTGCTTTTAGGTCAGAATGACACTATACATGTTTAAATTTTGAACCCCTAAATCACCATCTTAAAAGATAAGCAAGAAATATTTTATTTATTAAATACCTTTATGCAATGCTAAATATGAGTGGTGAACATACAGTTTTAATGTACAGGACTTTTTTTTGACAAATGATGTACTGGAAACAATAATGACCATGTACAGTAAAACCATTAAGATTAGTTACTCTGCAGAGAAAAATTTATTATCTCACTAAAACCTATCCTGTAATAGTATACACTACGTAAGTTTACAGGTAATTATGATTATCCCAGTGTGCTTTATCCCTATTTCACAACCAAATTACTTCTGACCTTTTACTTTTTAAAAATAGATTAATACATAACAAGGAGTTATTCTTTAGCTTAATTGAATCACCATACATAAACCAATTTTGAGATTCTGAAATTCATGATTATTAGTAAACATTCAGAATCTAGTTTTAAAAAGTGACATATTTTCCAGGGCATATGACTCCCAACTGTTTCAAATAAAGCTGCAACTGAATTAATCAAATTTGATTTAGTTCAATTGAATAAACTCAATTTAATAAAATGAATAAATGGAATGAGTTCAAATAAAATATTGCAAATAACTTAATAAATGAAATTAATAATTTAATAAACTTGAATAATTTAATAGCATTAACTTTAATAAGCTGAATAAAAGTGTAACAATCTATTTTTAACACACAACTGTGAAAAAAATCTGCACCTGTAAAAATGGGCAGAAAACCAAAATTATTATCTGAATTAGTCTCTGATTTAAATTTTTCCTCTGCATAGCACAGCAAGCAGATAATAAATAAAATTAAATTCCTAAACTTTACCATGAAAGACATCGGTAAATACATACAGTCCTCAGAGCACCAATGTGTCATAAAGCGATAAAATTTAGTTCCATTTTGCAGATGAAGAAAGTGTAGCAATAAGACCAACGTACAGTCCAGTCTCATACTTTGAGTTTGTCTGCTGCCTTCCTCCTTATCTCTAGACTAGCTTGTTTTATAAAGATAACTCTTGAAAGTTTTTGTACATAGACATTCTAGATACCATATATTGTGTAGAAAACTACAGCTATATTTTAACACAAATTGGAAGATTTTTTAAATAAAATAAATACAATGAGTGTAATATGTTAATAACATTAATACAATGAGTGTAACATGTTAATAACATAATTAGCTATTTTGATATAAAATTCTATTGATTTTCTGTTATTGCTCCGTTGGCAGTTTTCAGTATGTTTCCTGCTCTTGTATCAGCAGTGATTTAATTGCTATTTACTTATTTCAGTCACCATCATGTTGAGTGAGACAGTTTACGGTTCCCAGCATTATTTCAAGGCATTTGCAAATCCAGTCAACAACTTATTTATACATATTTACTGTTTGCTGAGTTATTTTAAGAATAACACAAAATATGAACTATTTTTTCAGAAGAAATTTAGAAACTAGGATTTGGATTTCCTACAAATTATAAGATCTTTAACTTTACCAGGCTTATGGATTCATGACCTACAAACTTTTATTTCCTACCCTTCTCAAAGTATTAGTATGTGCTAGTTTCTTATCAATTAAAACTATTATAAAAATATTCCATTCTGAAGTAAATATTTTGTCCTTTTGGAGTTCCTTGTGGCCTTTTCTATCTGTTACTTATTTCATAATTGCTTACTCTAGAAGAATAATTATCCTTGAAGGAAAAGGTCCAAGTAGAAGCGGGGAGTTTTTCTCCTTGTTGTTGCAAGGAGATACTGCCTGTCACATGTCTCTGCCACATGCACACACGTTCATACCATATAAACTGACAGGCTGTCATGACAAAACCAAATATACCTCCTCTTTTGTTTTCAGTGGCTGCACTAGATTTCTTCTGTATAATATCAATATACATTTTTAATACTTTCACCTTCCATTACTCCCATCTAGTTTCCCTAGCCCCTATACATACAAAACAAGAGAAACTCTAGACATTGTTGACAAAATTGAGAAAACAAAGTATTCTGAGTTAATTAACACTGAGATCAGTAGCATGGTTTCAAAAAAGTCCCCAAACATTGCAACAGGGCATATGAAAATGATTTCTGTTGCTCTTGATGATTCTCTGTAGTTCTATTACTTACGGCAAATCTTCCAATCTGGAGGCCTCGTGTCTTGGGTCTAGCAGATCATAACCACATTCGTTGTAGATTTCTAAGTAGGAAACATGAGTTGTATACACTTTACTGCTATCCTGGATTAAAAAAAAGAAAAAAAAATAGAAAAAAGGAAGAGCTATAAAGAGAAGTCAGAGCTAGATCAGAGGACAAATTTATCACTACAGCTTTTACGTCGCTTCCTCACTCTGTGTCTTTTTCTTTTCCTGGGTATGGTTTACATTTCCAATTTGCGATACTTTTATGTTTTCTGTCACCATATGTATAAAGGCTCAAGAAGAAAAAAGAAAAAAACAACAAAAAACGCAACAAAAACACACACACGTACACAAAAACTCAAAACAAAAATCCCCTCAAAACCCCATCATGCCCATAAGTTTAGTCTGTTTTTTTTTATTGTTTCCTTATATCTAGAAAAGTCTGTATACACTTAGAATATGGTAGCCTGCTCACAGAACCATGCAACATGCCATTTTTCTCTTCTACGACAAAAAAAAAGAATGTTATAATAAAGAGATAAACCCTCATATTATGGATAGAAAGACTATGGTTAAAAAAAAAAAAGGAGCAACAACAACAAAAATAAATCAAAGATTGACTTCATTTAGAAACATCAGTGACATACTGCTTTCTACTCTCTTTATCATAACATTTAAGCACTGCATATGATGTCGGCTGTTCTCTGTAATCCTCATTCTTTTGTATAATACGTTGCCAAAATGTAACTTAACACAACTGGGTTTTGCAGACAGAATTTTCTCCTGCTCCAAAGCCAAATCCAAACAACATAAACCTCAAAATAATGGGCTACTATTTCCAAAATAAAAGAAAATTAGTCACTTCTTTTCAGCAGATGAAGCCACTGTGAAAGCACTCGTATCACACTCACAGTAGCAGTTTAATAACCCAATCCACTATAGTTGTTTTGCAAAATATTTTGAGATATGAACTATTCATTTTCACTCAATAGTTATTTCCCATGGCATTTTTTTATTGATAATGACAGTTCACTATTTCAAGGGACATCGTTTAAAAAGATACACAGCAGATGGATGGAAAAAGTGTAGTAAGGAACTGTTCAAACAGGAATTTGTTGAAACAGGAGAATTTCTGACCAATAAATTAAAAGGAGATGTTACTAAAAACAAAGGGCTTGATTTGCTTCTCATTTGGAATAAATTTTTTTGTTTCCTTGGTTTCAAATTGCACTGTCTTAGTGCAAGTACGAGCTTCAAAAGTCCTGTATTCTGTGTCCCTGAATTCACTTTCTCCTGTGCCATCCTACTTAGGGTTAGGGGGCAGATGACTCTTATGTAGATGTAGATAAAAAGAAATTAAATAAGGGAAAAGTATGACAAGGAAGGCAAGTGGAAAGATAAAACACCAAGAAGAGATGCTTTAAGATGCACCAAGAAAGAAAATGTATGAAACAAACACAAAAATTTGGAAGCAGGCAGACAGAAATATTGCTATAAGTGTAACTAAGTAGAGCTTTTGATCCAAAACTCAGCCTGAAAACAGAAACACAAACATTTTAATTTTTATAGAAACTATGTGCTGAGAAGGCAGCAAATAAAATAGCTATTTTTCATCCTATTTTGTTTTTATTACATAATTAGCACTAGAAAAGAATGTTGGTGTGTTGACATTGTATGTTGCTGGCAATTGCACAATCAACCTGTTCACTTTCCATGACAAAAGTCCTCCCCGGGTCATGCGAGTGCAACAGAAGGTCTAAGGCAACACGATCACGTTGATTATTTTTTTTCACTTCCATTCCCACAAGAGTAAGCTTTTGTGCACCTACAATATGCTGTGTACATTTATCTACCAAAGCCGTACTTTGAAAGACCCAAGGTAATTACTTAATATTGTCAACCTTTACTCAGACATGCAACTGAGACATAGATTCTTATAAGTAAGAATTGGTTCCCTGTATTAGATGAATGACAGAGTATAAAAGTACAATGTAAAGATTGATGTTAACATAAAATAATATTTAAATTTATATAATTAAATAGCTCTGTTAAAATGTTAAGATTAATCTGAAATGAGTCATAGGCCTGCTGGAGTGAATGAAGAGACAAAACATATATGAGACCAGACTCCTCTCTTCTTCTCTTCACTTTTGCCTCCTATAGTTACGAAAGCACCAGAATGATTGACTGTGTTCACTCATATCAATATTACAGATACTAAAAGAAAATGAAATTTATCATAAACATAATGAACAACCATCAGTGTGCTTACTCTGGTGCATCCTTTCACTGATTCACTCATTTCATTGCATATAAATGTCAAATTGAAATAATTCTACAATATAACCTAACACCTACACACACATCCCCCCACATCCTCCTTTAGAAAAAAGTTCTTATACCTGGAATGCCAATCACTATATCATCAGCTAGTTATTGTTTCTCACAGTCCCCTTATATGTCGCAAAATGTAGGATTTGTTACTTAAGCTTTCTTTCCAACCTGTAGGCTGCAGGTCAGTCAGAAGACTTATGATTCGGAATGACTGATTTAAAATTAACTTCTCTATTTAGTGAGAAATTTTGTTGCTAATATCTTATTTGAGTTTCTGAAGCACTTCAGTTGACAATTATAATTTACTTATTAGAAAAACTAATGTAAGGAGATAATAAGGAATATTTCAGGTGTGGTAAGACTTTTAAAGTTGGGGGTTTTTAATAATTTGTATTTATTCTGTTTCTATCATTTCTCTTAGATGTTGAGACATTACAGTGTACTTGTAGTATTTCAAATGTCATTATTACCTTCTGTAAAAACTGACTTGACGTATGTTTTCTGTACATAAAATAAATAAGCTGCCAAATTAAGTTTTGGGTGTCTTTTTTGGGGGCACAGTAGATCCAGAAGAACCATAGAATTAAATTGCAGTCAGTTTTCTCCTTCTCCCAAATTCTGTCAATTCTCTTTCTGCTAGGCATGATGGCTTTTTTTTTTGCACAGGAAGCAACATCACTTTTTTTTTTTTAATTTAAAGTAAAAGAGTGAAAGACTTCAGATTCAGTGGGGTACAATGATCTGTAAACCAGCTTGATTAATTTGTAAGTGCAACAATTACATTTATGATTTCTGCAAGGTATTTTTCTTTTTTTAATCACAAAACTATTTTAAGACTTTGTATTGTTTCCCTCTCTACATCTGCAGGGCACAGGTAGAGTTGTTGAAATGCACCATTCATTTTTACATCACTGGATTCAGCTAAAAAGTAGGTTTATAGCTCTTTGGTTTAGGTCAGTTACCACACTGGAGTGATGTGTTTTGCCCTATAAGCTATGACAAATTCAGTATTCAAACAGTAGTTGCATTGAGCCGTCAGTGGCAGGAAAATCTTCTGTACAGTATTTAAAAAATGAACAGAAAAGCATTAAGAAATAACTGGGACAGAACTGTAAGACTCAGAAATACTATAAGATGAGGAAAAATGGAGGAGACAGAGGAATCATATTTGGCAGCATTTACTACTGTCCAAATTTTTGGTGAAGCCAAATCATTATTTATATGGGTGTAGTGACTATTTCTCCACTGGAAGTTTCAGATGCAAAGCACATGCAAAACTTCTTTTCAGAATATAGTTTTCTACCTTTGAAAGTGTTTTTCCAGTCACTGTTAACTAGTGTGTAGGTATTGATACGATTTTAAAAACAGATCAAAGGTTTTTGGTTTTTTTTTTCTTCATTTTGCAAAGAATGCATTAGAAATAATTAATAACAGCAATAATAATAATAAACATTTGTGACATTTTACTACTTACATCTTTACCTGTTCATACATTATACATGTGTAATTATGTTAAGAAATGTGCCTAACAATGTTTCTATCCAACTATATTGAGTGAATCAGACTTTTATTCCTAATAACATATAAACATAAAAACATTCCATACAACTGCATAACTGGAGCTAAAAGAAAAACAGTAGAGGACGACAATGAATATGGATATCTATTTTCTTTCAAATAGTTCAAGAATTGGCACTACTGACTTTAAAAACTGCTTTTCATCATAATTAGATGTAGTTAGCATTATCATTCTATAATATATTGTAGCTAATAAGTAACATTAGGTAAAATAAAGGCATTAGGTAAAATAAATAGCTGAATATCTAAAAATGCTTAATATTAATTTTATTATTTTATGGGTTGTTTTTCTTTTTTTAAGCATCAGCCAAGCATAAAGAAACTAGGTAACTTATGAAAAGTCAAAGTAATGCTCCGTCTTTTATACAACATTGTTGGTTTACATAGGAGTGATTTTTGTACAAGATGTGTGTGATGCAATGCATACAATACAAAACCAGAGTGAAGCTAATATAAGTGTTAAGACAACGAGAACCAGTCATGTGATCTGAATGAACATTGTACCAACTAAAAATGGCATGGTTTTTAAAATGACAAGAAAACCCTCCAATGATGTCCATTATTTTCAGTCTACTGCAACAAACCAGGTAACCAAAACTATTACCAATGTATTCTTGCATAAGGTATCACGCCAAGTTAGACATTTTCTTCAGCATTAATTTTAGGGCTTCCTCTAACACTATTATAAAAACAGTCCTTTGCAATATAGTTAGGTATTTGTAAAGTAGACAGTAAAAATAAACAGAAAACAATGTCCCATACCTTCTGCAATTGATCAAAAATATAAGACAGAGTCCTGGGAATGATGCCTCGATCACTGTAACGTTCTGCTCCTCCTGTGATGGTGAAAGTTTTACCACTGCCTGTCTGACCATATGCAAAGATAGTACCATTATATCCTGCCAAAACACTATAGAATAAAAAAATGGGGAGATAGTTAATATATAAGGCATATTATATTTTCCATTATTGACTTTGTATAGAATTAAAATATAACTAACATTAATTCTTAATTACTTAGCAGCTATCTTCAGTAATACAAGAATACACTTCAAGAAATGTATTCTAGATTCAATGGAATTTAAACTACCTAGAACGGAAGGACTTTCTGATGCCTTCACTTACCCCATTATTCAATATCATCATTAGTTGATCATATTTATTACTATTTACATTATCTTTGTATACTTTTTTCTTTGGCTGATGAATTTTTGCAAAGATGATATTTAGTCTCTTAAAAGACTTTAGATCTCAAAGTTGTGACCATTGATACATTACAGCTAAAGAATCTAGAAATATTTCACATATGAATTCATTAATTGCAAACAGAGAAGACTATATCATGGTTAGAAACTCAGGTAGGGATATAGTTACACCAGGGGTCTTTTTTTATTCTGAGATTACTACTATACTAAACTATCAGACTACTCCTAGCTTGCATAAAGGTACGCAGGAGAACCTGTGCTTATCACTGTAGTAAAATCTTCATTTACTATGAAAACACACAAAACCACATTGGTAAAAGCAAACCTTTCTGTTAGAACTGTGTCTGTACAAGAAGCTCCTGTGGGACAGCTATAGTAGCTATGCAATGGCATGGCTTGAAATGACATTCAGACTCCATCATCTTTTTTCATACCTCTTACTTCTACTTGCAGAAGTGCCTGACAAAATTCTGGTTCAAACATCTTTCTCTAATTCGCTACACTCTGACTGTTAACTTCCACCTCATTTCCACCAAACAGTAGATAAGCCTAATGACAGTGCTATAGCTGCACACCATGGAGGAAACGTGGGACTCGGCTGTAGCTGACATACAGTTTAGGAGCCATGGCTGACTGAACAGAATTTTCAAGTTGTGACTCAATATATTTTGAGATTTTTGGTCCTGATTTTGTTCTAAAGGGGAGGACTTTTAATGCAATGAACAAAAAGCAGTCCTCTAAACTATTGCAATCTAGATTCCGCTACTGATAAGTCAGTACAATTTGAAGGAATGATTTTTACATGCAAATATAGCATCTTTTTCTTATTAATATATGGCAAACTTTCTTGCACTATTTATGAAGACAGGCATATTTTCCTCAAGTGAAACCCCTTTGATGGGCTGATGTCTGAAATATAAATACAATATTTCATTTTTCTCTTGATATTAAAAGTAAAATTTCAGTATCCAATGTTTAAAATTTCTATTGATACTCACAGTTGACTATCATGCATTTCCCTTGCACAGCTCTCTCTCAAAAGACAAAAATACTAAAAATCTATTTCTACATTTCTAATTCCATTTCTTGTTAATTATTGTAAACTGCCCTGAAGGTGAAAGACATTTTAAGTGCTCTCAGATTTTACGTTTCACACTGACCAGCTACAAACAATGAGATTAAAATGATGCAGGACATAATTATTTTGAATTTTCACTTGTCTGTAAAGGCAAACAATTATATTTGTTTATAAAAAAGAAAATTATAAAATGTTATTAGAATCACAAATTAAATCGTGATGAAATCAGTTACTGACTGTAATATTCAGATGGTAAATCAAACCAGAACTCATGAGAGTCTATAGTTGACAGGACATATGATAAAGAAATCAGATTAGACTGTCAAGATTTTTTCTTTCAGCAGATGTCAATTATAAAATGTTTCCTGGATTAACCCATCTCAAAATTGATCTACCACAACTCCAGCATCTCCTGACAAAATATATGAAGGGAGTATTTGAAAATAAATTAAGTAATCAAGAAAGAATTATTTTCTTGATAAAACTTATCAGAAGCCAAATCTACTTTGGATTTGATTTACAATGCCTAAGGACCTACTAACTTTGCTAAAGAGAAAGAAAACCTAAAATTATTCTTGTGTATTTTGTTTATTGAAAAAGTGATAAATAAGCTAAGATTTTAAAAAATGAAAAGGGGGCAAACACTCTTGCATAAGAGGAAAAGAACTATGTACAGATAGCTGCTGGTCTGGCGCCACAAGAGATGCAACGACTCTCCAACTTATTAAAATTTATTTAAAGGCCTGAGTAGTTGCCAAATTGCTTATTTTAATCCATTGCAGTACGATGTCAGAGACAAAACCAGAAACATCTTGAAAGGAACTACAGCGAACATCTGCTCCCAAAGACCAAAATGCCCAAAGACAGAGTAGATATAGATTTTAGACTCCAGATGTTAAAAATCAAAACAATTATTATTATAAAACACCTTATTCATCTCTCTCAGGAATTTCTGGTGCCCACTGTCACAGTATCTGAATATTGAAGACAGTAATGAGTTGTCAGATAGTAGGGGGTATCAAAAGAAGCTCAGAGATGGCAGATTCAGAACAAGCAAGGGGAAATGATTCTTTGTGCAAAATGTAGTTAAGCTGTGAAACTCCTTGTAATGGGATATTTTGGATGCTAAAAGTTCACACAGGCTTCAGTACAGACTGGACTAATCCAGGAACAAAAGAATTCTCTCAGGGCTACTAAACACAGAGAAATCAGAAAGTCCCTAAACTACAAAAAACTAGAGGCTAACAGAACACTTGGGGGACACAGCTCTACATGCTTACACTGTTGGGTTTTTCCCCCTCCCCGAGCATTGACTGTTACTCCCTGTGAGAGATAACACACTGCACTAGATGGAACTTTGGTCTGACCCAATACAGTTGCTCTTCTGTTTTTACATCTCTGCTCTTTGGCTCTTCTAGATCTAGCATTTCAGGTTGTTAAGTTTCCTTATTCCTTCTCTTCTTTAAAGTTGTTAAAGGTATATATTTTCAATTACTGTGACACAGTGTATATGGTTTGCACGGCAAGGTTTTGGTAGCAGAGGGGCTACAGAGGTGGCTTCTGTGAGAAGCTGCCAGAAGCTTCCCCTGTGTCAATGGAGCCAATGCCAGTCAGCTCCAAGGTGGACCTACTGCTGGCCAAGGCCGAGCCCATCAGTGGTGGTGGTAGTGCCTCTGGGATAACACAGTTATAAAGGGGAAAAAGCTGCTGTGGAACAGCAATTGCAGCTCTGGGGAGAGGAGTGAGAAGATGTGGCAGGAGCAGCCCCGCAGCCCCCGGTGAGTGCAGCAGGAGGAGGAGGTGCTGCAGGCCCGGAGCAGAGATTCCCCCCAGCCCCTGGGGCAGCCCACGGTGAGGCCGGCTGTCCCCCGGCAGCCCATGGAGGCCCACGCTGGAGCAGATCCCCACCTGCAGCCCGGGGAGGAACCCACACCGGAGCAGGGGGATGCCTGAAGGAGGCTGGGACCCTGGGGGAAGCCCACGCTGGAGCAGGCTCCTGGCAGGGCCTGTGGCCCCATGGAAAGAAGAGCCCAGGCTGGAGCAGGGGCAAAGGGTGAGGAGTCATCTTCCTGAGGAGGAAGGAGCAGCAGAGACAGCAGGTGATGAACTGACCCCAACCCCCATTCCCCATCCTCATGCATCACTGGCAGGGAGGAGGGAGAGAAAATTGAGAGTGAAATTAAGCCTGGGAAGAAGGGAGGGGTAGGGGGAAGGTGTTTTTAATGTTTAGTTTTTATTACTCATTATCCTGCTCTGATTTAATTGGTAATAAATTAAACTAATTTGCCCAAGTCGAGTCTGTTTTCCCTGTGACGGTAATTGGTGAGTGATCTCTTCCTGTTCTTATCTTGACCGATGAGCCTTTCGTTATATTTTCTCTCCCCTGTCCAGTTGAGGACGGGAGTGATAGAGCGGCTTTGGTGGGCACTGGGTGTCCAGCCAGGGTCAACCCACCACACATGGCTCCTGCAGAAAGGTGTGTTTTGCCATGTGTCTAAAAAAGTGGTAAAGCTGTGGCTGCAAACTTGAGGTCCCTGTACTTCACAAAAAGCTGCTGATCAGGATCACCACATATGTAAACACAGGATAAAATGCCACATACCATATGCTGTCAAAATAGCTACAAGAGTCAGTGAGTTTTCTTTGTGTTATTTGGTTCACATATTTCTTATATTTATTGCAATGCATCAGCACAGCTCTGAACAGTTTTCCAGAAAACACTGAAATTTCAGAAAATGTGGACATATCAATGTCAATAATGTATTCTCACAGTCCAATGTAATTACAGGTAATATTAATACTGCATTGCATAGATGCACTATGAAAGTGCTGGTTATGATTCCACAGTTGAGTTTCACTTTAAAATCCAAGATGAAAGTTAATCTTATTTATATATGTGTATATAATTATATATAATCCTGTCCATATTTACGGCACTCATTTCTTTCATTCAGAGGGTATTAAAACTAACAACCAAGCCAATTTAAGAAAAGCCTGCCTGAGCTGCTAAGGAAGCCTGTAAGGAAAGAACTACCAATAATATCAAACTGCTGGCAAAGCCTTCTAAGAGTGAAGCACAATCCCATGAAGATGGGGAATAAGTGCCCCTTCTAAGTCTAAGAAGAAAACAACCTTTATAAAAGACAAGGGACTAGCAGGATTGATGGAGTCTCTACTGTATCAGCTTATTCACAAAGAATTAAACTTAACAGAATTAAACTAAACAGAATTAAAGCTTATATGTACACACATATGTTTATGAAAGAACAAATTTCAAAACTGAAGATGTGTAACCACTAATCTGGTTATAATGTTCTGAATATTAGTCAACATCAGTTTCGAACGTCTGTATGTGATAAAGTCTACATGGATTAAGTCATACAAAATTCATGCCTGATGTTACTAATTCACACTTCTTTTAAGGAAGCTCTCTTGGAATCAAGGGGAATACAGGATGTTTTAGCAATGAGGCTTGTGTGGAAAATATTATCATAGCAAATACTTGCTAAAGATATACTTTGCTCTTTTTCCACTTCTAAGAACTTTAAGTCAAAAATAAACACCAAACTTTATCAATCTAATTTTAGTTCACTGTCCCAAGGGGTTTTACACTGAAATGGTAACAAT